AGCGTGTCCACTTGCATGCCGGTTTCTGTGGACCTGGGCATTGGGTGTAATTCGGTATCGCCTATTATACAATACCATTTTGGGTTAGGCACGAGTTAGCATTTTATACAATTCATACAATTACAACTTCGGCAAGAGTCTGTTTGCTGCAGAGTTCATTTTCAGTTCGGTTCGGCTCGGCTCGGTTGGGTGGGCATGATCATGATTTGCCAACTTTCCTAGCCCCCTAATACCGCCTTCTTATTGTGCGATCACGTTCGCCAAATTATCCCAGGAGTTTGGAACATGGATGCGTAGGCGTCCGCCTAATTTCCCGCTAATTTCATAAACACGCAGAATTATCAAAGCCGAGCGCGCGGTGCAGCACTTTTGCGTCACTTGCAACTATGTAATGGAATATTTTTCCAAAAACCCTTATTGGTACTTAGAAGGTAACCTTCCCTGGTTTGGATAACATTTCCATGTGAGTTTTAGGTTAATTAAATTGGATTTCGCACAGGAGTGCTAAGATCGATAGAATAGTATTTGCATAACATCGGGTTCTTCAGAATTAAGAGTGGTTTTCTTGGCCAAACTGCTGTGCGTAAATTATTTTCCGATTATAGAAAAGGTATATAAGGTTTATTCTATATTCTTTGCATATATTCGCATACTCTTTATTTTAAACGTGTGCTCCACTCTTCGATGCCAACCATTTAAAGACAGCTTTTTGTTTCCACGGCTTATAACAGGAAAATAAATTGTACTGGCCAGCTGTGCTGTGGTATTTCAATTCACTTAGCAAGGGAGGGCAAATCAGGTGCTGAATAATTAGTGGCCATGACTGACACTTCCGGAAGCATCAAAATTTGCATTCACAGCACGGCAAACGAAATACAAATTATTAATTAAAACAAATCTGCAATGGGCCATGCTCACCCAAAAGTAAATTGAATTATCCCGTCGGTGAAATGCTCAACTGGGGAAAAACCAAATAACTGAATCACTCGGCGATCGAAAGCGCTTCCAATTAGCCGGAGGAAAACAAACAGACATAAAATATTCAGAAAGCAACGCGGAGACATCGAATGTAAGGCAAAGAATTTTTTGCAAATCGAATCACAGCCTGAATTCCGCGGATAGCTCCTCCGAGAATCGTTTTGCTTTCATTCAGTCGGTTCGGTTCGGTCCGGTTTGGATTCAGTTTTCATTTTTCAATTCAATTAAGCGTCGGCGGGCGGAGTTCAGCACACATTGCTGAACTTGGTGGCGGGACCGTTTTGAGTTCTCTACTTTTTTTGTCTGCTCTGCGGTAATTCACTTTATTCAAATAAGTATAATAAAATAAACGCCTGTATGCAAAACACAATGGGCGAAAAAAACAACTACGCGCCCCATTGTCGGGCGAATTTGTCTGATGCACAGAGAAAAATAAGGAAAGGAAACCCTTTCTACGATAATCAGAATTTATATGTACATCGTAGGGACATTAAATCGTATCTATGCTAAGCCCAAAATGAATAGTTTGATATTCATTTGATGTCTATAAATAAAAAAATCGATTATTATCATTTCTTTGGGTACTTTTTTACGAGCTCTCCACTGGAATGCCTCGAATCTGGTTGCAGATGCAGATACAAAAGACTGGGACCGGATGTTTACGAGAAAGGCCCTCTAACTGCTGCTCTTATGCGAATTGAACTTATCTCAATGAAGAGCGACAGTGCGACCGGAGCAATGAAAACCCCTCTGGGGCATTTCTGGTGTTTAAGTATGGAAATTGTCGCAGCGGATAAATTACCCAATGCACTCTAGATACAAGCTAAGCTTCTTATCAGCCCACAAAGTGGGTACCCACTACAGCAGATAAGTATAACTCAAATAGAACCATAAGGGATCGTAGTATACACATATATTAGTTCATATGGCTTTTCATATAACTGAGTTTATGTGATAGCCCACACTTATCCGAATATAAATAAATACGAATAACGAATAGAAAATCCAGTTACACTTTGCTAGAATTACACCCGTCACTGACTTAACTTCCAGTCAGTCGATAAACTTACACTTACAGCTCTTTTTACCCGGCAAAAAAGTATACTGATAACCAGATATGCTCGTTGATTTACAAGTTATCCGGCACGGATAACGTTTACGACACGGCAACACGATGTCAGGCTAAATCAAGGTTATTAAATCAATTGGGGGGTTGGGTGGGGAAATATTTACCCTGCGGCCAGTTATTAACTCTTATTGAAATGTCGCCAGATATCGCAACACAGCCCTGCGAACATCTGTTAAATATTTTATGTGTTCGAAAAACAGGATCGGGCTCAATGAAATTACTTGCACAAATGAATGCTGCAGAAGTCACATCCAAAGTCGGTATCTTGGTATGTGCGCGCCATGTATCTGCCCTCTATATAGGATTTTTTTATGGATCATTGCGCTCATATCGCCTCAATTGCCTTTCGTGTGCAACGCTTTACATTTTATTTTAGTCGCGTGTTTTATGCTCGATCCAACTGGTGGGCGTATTTTGTTCCGCTCCTGCGTTCAGTTCTGATCTGCCTGTTATTAACACATCGCTGCCAGCACTGATCTAATAAACTTGATTAGGATTTATGAGCGTGTGGGATTTCAATTTCGCGAGCTTCCCATAAAACGAAGCGGCGGATGTTTCCCTGACATCTGCATCAGGCGACCACGTTCATATCACTCCATTAAATGGATCAAATGTTCACCCGAATACGAAAAAGATATATAAATATCTTCGCAGTTCTGGTTAATATTTTCCGATCCGAATGTATGACAAACAGTTATATCTGGTTGCAATGATTCAAGTGGAGTATTGTATAAATGCCGCGGTTTCGTTTCACTGCGAATTAGAAAACAGCATTTTTATTACGTAGGCACTGCGAAGTCATGGAAAGCTTTTTACATAATCATATAATGATGCAATGCCTCCAGAATTCAATGACAGATCCACCTATTACATAATTTGATATATGTACTCCAAAATGTATATAAAACCCAAACATATGTTATGTCTATATTTTTAAAATAGTTTACTTTTTTTATTTCATAAACGTAACGCCCATAACTCGAAAAATGATGACGGGTATCTGGTAGTCGATGTACCCGACTGTAGCGTTCTCCCTTGTTTTATTTTAGAGACCTACTTGGCTTGCTGGCCTCATAATACTAACCTAGCTTAACGCAGTGCCCCCCAAAGGGGGAACCAGAAACAATTAATTTTCTGGTAATTTAAGATAAGCCAGCTCCTTGTCATGGGAGCTCCGACTAAATTTACGGCAAACAAGCGGTTATTTTTTGTGCAATATTCTCGTGGTCACAAAAATAAATTCAAAGAGGTGAGTGCCAGCGAATTTTAGGGGCGATTGGACCGAAAAATATTGATTTTTGACCAACCATAAATGCGTTGCTAAGGGTGAAGGCACTGGGTTAGTTGGATACTCTCGATAAAGTTCAGACCCTTTGGCAGAGTTCAATGAACCAAGTGACTGACAGTACTGTGGAACTTATAGACAGAAACTTGTCGCTTGCACTTGGGCAATAATCGACGTGAATCACCGAATAAATCACGTTGTCGTCGCCTAGGCACGTACACATATTCGCTGAAAATGCGATATGGATACATATATGCACACAGAAAAACATATGTATCTTATTGGATAAACATTTATTGATCGAAAATTTGTACTTTTTATTAATATATATTATTGAAGTCAAGTAGATGTAAGAGATCTATATATCAGGCTTTAAAATTAAGAATGGTGCTTTGAAAAACATTTCATTCAAAAATACGTTTTATCACTGTGTGGATTGGATAGACTGACAAATAAATGGATGGATGTGAGGCTCTGTGCAACGCGACGTTGACTTATTGAAATCGATTGATTCTGATTCCAGTCGGTCAGCTTTGGATTTACTTTTTCTGGCTGGCTCGCTGGCCGGATCTGTATATTGCTCGACAGCTTTTTTATGATTTTACGAGGCACATTTGAAAAGTCGTTTTGTATCGGACATCTCACGTGAGCGATGATTCGATGGGACCAGCTGACAGACAGTTTACCCAAATACAATTTGTTCATTGCCAGTCAAATGGATTTAGATAAATAGTTAGTGCGCAAGTATCTGGCTCATATTTTAGCGATTTAGTGTTCCTTTTTGGGGCTCTCTGGCCCACAGATAAGATAGCCAAGCAGAGAAATTGAATTTTTGGCAAATGTTTGCTGGTTGCACTGCCTTTTCGTTGAAATTCAGCGAGCAGGGCCATAGTCATAATTTATACGACCGCAAGAGGAATACTTATCGCTTTAACAAATGTTTGGAGCACAAACAAAGTTATAATTAATAACTCCAAAGGTCGTATAATTGCCAATCGGAGATTGATACAAAAAAAATGTGTATCGTTAAAAATGTGCAAAAATCTCTGTTTTGCACAAGTTGAAAAGTCAAGTAATTCTGTGCAATTACAGTATGTATTATTATATTATATATTCATATCTATACTCATACTTTTATGTGGGCCACAAACATAATATGTGGGACAAACAGAAATCAACAAACTCCATAACCCCCCGTAAATTTAAGAGCAAAAAGGAACTAATTTTTTACAACATTTAAAAGTTGAACCTCTTTCTCGCTATCAACATGGAATAACATGGTTTGCTGCCGTCATAAATTGTGCAAGGTTGAACGAAAAATAACGTATATCTAATCAGTTCGGTATAAAGAAGCACATGCGAGCTGAAAAACACGACTTATACAATTTTGTTGGATCTCAGCAAAACAAATTTGAATAAAACGTATGATCGCAATGAATCACAAAAAACAATAATTTTATGATGGAAACCTTAGTCCGCGTAAATTTCAATATATTATCAAAAGAATAAATGAATCATAGAACAGGTGATAGTGCAACTTCATTCGAAATTCTGCTGGGGAGAGAGCGCTAAAAAATAGAAGAGAGAAGAGAGGGTGACTGCTGTTACCTGTCAATATCTGGAGTTTTTGTTCTGTTTTTCCTTTCTTCGTTGGTTATTTTTACTTTTTTCTGTGTTCTTGTTCCGTTATTTTTTTCTGATTGTTGCACTTGTTCTTCCTTTTATCCTCCTTTCGTTGTTTTCATGCACTCGTGTTTTGTTTTGCTTGCTTCGTCCGTTTTATCGTGTTGTCACGTTTTCACTTTCACATGTAAATTCTATAATATATTTTTTTTTCCAAATTTATTATTCTGCCTTAGGGGGCGTGGCCAGGGAGGCGAAGGGCACTCTTTGGCCTTTACACACACACTCACGCACGTACACAGTGAGTGAGAGAGCGAGATGGGTATAATTAAACTACCTTAGAAGATAGATTTTCTTCTAGTTTCGGAAATTCACGTATTTCGTATATTTCAAGTGGTTTAACTTTTTTCGCCCTACATCCATTTTTTATTTTATTTTATTTCTTTGATCGGGAACCGAAAACACCATCAACGCGGTCGAAAAATTATCGGGCAATACGAACGAGCGCCTTTTGCGAGTTGCTTAAATAGACTTTCGTTGAATGGTTCGCTTGCGAACCTCTCGTCGTTTCTCGCTCTCCAAAGTTTGACGTACAGTGGGATTAATGTGCAGTGTTTGCATAAAATGTATTAAAAAAATATAGATATACTTAGGAAAATTTTACAAAGTCTCATTTTTAAACAACATGATATGATATAAAAGTAATATTTTTACCAAGTTTACTTCAACTTTACTAAAATGTAACAGAAAATTAACTTTTTTTTTAAATTTTAATTTTTTTCACGTAAAAACTTATTTTTAAAACAGTGGCATTATAGCAGAAAGGATTCAAAATTGGTCCACTGTGCGATGTCTACGGTTGGATGTCGAACCAGTGAGATTTAAACAAGTTTGAGAGAGCGAACCAGAACCATACAAATAAAAAATAATATTAGGAAACGAATTTATATGTACATATATCTACAAATAAACAACATTTCAAATACACAAAACTTATTTGATTGGAAATTTCTTTAAACCCAAACGAAATTTGCACAATGCCGATAAGCAGGGTGCGTGATACCGTTATAAAAAGTGGGAGAATAGGGAGAGAGCAGCAAGTGCGCAAGTGTGTGTGGTAAAAAGGTACCCCTATCACACTGCAGTTCACAAAAATAGTCACATTCCATGCCTGGGATTTGGATATTCTAGAACATTCTTCAATAAATGTATAATTAATATACAGATATAATTTAATTTTGTTTTTAAAGAATGAGATATTTTATTTTGGGTGGATCTAACCGTCTTGTTTTTATTCATTTCTCCTATGCTCTTTTACGTGGCTAAGATAATATGAACTACGAATGCTAATTTTGCCGACGAGTTTATGTTATAATTCCGTGCTAATGAGATGCCAAGGCAAACGTACTTTAACCGAGTATGCTTTATTATTTTTAATACTTAATAATAATTCAGCAGAAAAAATTAGGAAAATTGCAGAACAATTCACACGTGGTTTTTTTTGTATTGCAACTTCACGCAACAGAAATTCCCGCACACACGCACACATGGAAATAAACGGAACACGTCAACAACAACAATTCTCCTTGCCCATCTCCCATTTGGTTTGGCCTCTCTCTCGCTCCAATTGTGTTTGTGTGAGTTTAAAAAGCAAGTAAAATGTTAATTTTAGTACATTGCTTCGCACTTGATTTAAACACGCGAATTGGTGACACAAATATCGATTTATTGAGTTTAGGCAGTTGAATTTGTCGCGCTATTAAGCTCGCAAATAGGAGTATTTACTTTGGGTAATTGAATGAGGCTATAGATTTCGCATTTATTTGCGAGTGTGTGTGTGTGTGCGACGAGCCTTCTAATTCTCCCAAAAAAAGAAGAAGAGCACCATTCAGTGGCCTAATTCTTTGCACTGTTTCGGAATCAGTTTTTCTGATGCCTGCTTTTTTAACCTTGGTTTAATATTTTTCGCGCTTTAAACGATACTTTTGCAATAAAGTTATTTACTTTTCGTGCTTGTGGAGTGCACCTCTTTTATGCCGCGTTTTAAGAAGAAGCACGCCGTAGTGTTTGAAGGTGCTGTGGAATTTGGGGATGGGATGCGTAGCTCGTACAATCGATAGCTCGATAAGTGCCCGTTTCGAGTTTCGCAACACTTATGGCGGGTTCTTTACATTTAAAATTACACTATTGTGAATGAAGACAAAAAGGCACATTTTCGATTTACCAATCATTTTTGAATTGGTCAAGAGAAATAAAACACTTTTAGAATTTGAAAATTAAATTGTCTTTGTTCGTTTGAGTTTACAACTATATCGAGTCTTAATCTCCGAGTGTTTACATAGAAATATAGTTTTTATGCAAGAAATCTCCAATAATCTCTTTAGTATAATCTAGATGTTGCTAAAAATGAGGTTGCACATTTCGTTGTTTTTCTGGTTGAGTGCAAAAGTGCACCCAGCAGTCTTGTGCGAGTGTGTAGAGCGCACATGTTTGGCATAAGGATGATCAACAAACTGCAGAAAAACCGAACGAGCGTTGGTTTGTCTGGGAAGAAGGGTTTCAATTAGTATTTCAGACCATAAAATAGTTCCACAAACTCACTTCAGAAGCTGTTCAGGGCGCTGGAGTTGCATGCACAATTTAATGCCACTGTAGAAGTCCAAGTCCGCATTCAGACTCAACTTTGGTTCATGAATGATACTGAAATCCTGCACTAATTTCGCATACCTAAACCCAACGGCCAAATGACCAAGGACAGCGCTGCCAGTGCTAAAAACCAGGAAAACCGTAAGTTAAGAAGCTAACCAATTAAATACTATGGCTTTCCCACTTACTTTTGCTGGATTTCCGTCTGGGCATTTCGATTCCACAGGCTAAATCCCACCTTGCCATTGAGATCCACACTCCTGGCGCCCAGCACTCGCCAGTGAAGCGTCGCCCCGGAGGACAGGATTACGTAGTGCTCGTTATCCAGGGACAAAGTGGTTGCCTGGTAAGCGGGCGTTGAGTCCGAGGCACTTCCTCCCCACACGTGGCCCATTAGCTCGGTCTGGCCGCTGAAAAATATTAAGGGTCGCAATTGAGCGCCCTGCACACTGATCTCCATGCCTGCGGTAACCGTTTCGTCCTCGCTAAACTCATCATCCGCCGGAATTCCGTCATTTCCTTCGCCGGAGTCACCATCGCCCACCAGCGAGCCCAAACCGGCAGTGTAGATGCCCAATTTAAAGCTGCTGGCTTGGGAACGCCCGGCATGGAGCAAAAATTCCACGGAGCCACGTTTCAGGATTCCCTGATACACTTCCTGGGTACTAAGCAGAGTTTCGTTGAAAGCTGGAGCCTGTGAAAGCTGACGGGTGAGAACGGTAGTGAGACCTGCAATTAATTGAGTTAATAATTGGTTGAATATGTGCCATTAAGCCATGGGGCACTCACCCTTTTGTGCCAGCACATTGTAGTTGTTTACGTGCGTCCTTTTGACAAGCTCCGATTCGAACAAAGCCCTAAATCGCGGGCATTTCTCAGCCAGCATTCTTAGCTTCTGCAGCACGTAGGTTTTGATCTCAAACTGGCGATCATTGGAGGCCAGGTAATCCAAGAGGTAGCCCAATTGCTCCTGAGTTGGCCGGAGGGATAGGATAATATCCAGAGCCAGAGTGCGAGCGGAGCTATCAAAGCGCCGCTTTCGCTGGTAGAATATGCTCTCGAACTGCAAGCGATGCGAAGAGTTAAAGCTACCTAGGGGAAATGCCTTTAGAGCCTGCAAGGCGGCCACCGACAAATTGGGGGCCTCGCCAGTTTGACTGTGCTTCAGCAGAGCTTCAATTGTAGCGGGATCCTGGAGATTTTGCAGCGCCCTAATGTACAAAGTGGGCTCCTTGGAGGTGAGACCTTGCAGGAGATAAGAACGCACTTCCTTCAGCAAAGGATCTTCAACATCTAGACCGCTTTGGCGGGTCAAGGTGGCCAGCGTTTGGATGACGCTTTCCCTCAGCTTTGAATGCTTTTCGGTAGATTCCTGTCCTAGCAATCCGTACAAGTGCTCAACTATTTTCCTATCCGGATGGGTGGCGACCGCCAGGGACTGCAGGTATTTCTCTAGCAGGTCTAATTGCTCGCTTGTGGTTTCCGACTCTTTGTAAAGGAACCCAAATGTGGCATTGTGAGCATCAAAGGTCTGAACAGCACCCAAAAGATCCACCAACTGCGGCAGAACTTCTGAGTTATCTTTAAGTAGATCTTCAAATTGTTCTTGCCTCGAGATGCGAGCCAGAGGAATTAGTTTCACGTAAGCAAGAGCCAGCGAGGATTTGCCCACATCACCGGATTGCAATTCCGTTAGAGACTGTTTTAATTGCTCCTCCAGCTGAAATAATTATTTTTAGTTCACAAATCTTTAAACGTGATATTATTTACTTACCGTTTGCTCCTTGATCTCACTGATCATGCCATCCACATCGGATTCTAGCTCGAAAACGCGATACCATTCCAGAAGGCTCTGGATGGTCTTATCCAAGCTGTCTAGTTCCAGTTGCTTGACTTCCTCCGATCCTTGCGAGATGTGTTGCAGTACCAACGTGCTCTTCACGGAGCTACCCACATCCGGTTTGGCTGCTAGATTGAGGCGGTGGTTCTCCTGGGACTCAGCCCTCAAGAGTGTGCCCTCTGAAGAAAGGTCGTAGAAGACCGTCTCCTGGGCTTGCTGAGTCACGCCCAGAGCTTCTTCTGGGTGATAGTTGACCCTAAGATCCCACAGGGAGCAGTCTCTTTTGGTTTTCTGCACCTTCGTGGAAGATTTGACATCATAGGACACGCGACACAAGCCAGAAACATCCAGTTCCTCGTCCTGGGATGCATCCAATCTCAGCTGCAGCAGAGAAGCAATTCCGCGCTCCAAATTCAGCAGGGATTGATCTTTAGAAGTATGGGCTATGACCTTTTCAGGCTGTCCCTTCACCAGACTGATATAAAAAGGTCTATCGGGTATCTGGGTAATTGAACGTGCTTTTCCAGAGGCCTCGACCTTGCTACCGCCGATAAAAACCTCCAGTAACTGGTCTTCATCTCCACTCCAAACTGAGTTAATCTTGAGATCGGTCTCAAATGTATACCCCGTCTCCTCGCCCCTTGAATCCCGACCCAGTTCCTGGAGTATCACATGGTTCTGCAGCTTGAAAATTTGCTGACTGTTCGGAGCTATTAGGGCCGTTCTTCCATTCTCTGAAAGAAAAAATAATAGAACACGTCATTAGTCAATCGAATTGTTGTAGCTTTCACCCAGAAGCAGCGCTTCTTGCTAAGGTCGAGGTTATCAACAAGTGGCCCGCACAGTGGGCAGCGATAATGCAAATGGTGTAGGAGGGATGGGAGGACAGATAGCAAAGGTCGCTGTGGATGTGGTTATATCCGGGAATTTTCGGGTGCAAATATGACAGTACTTATCTATGTTTAGGTTTTGAATAATTTCGAACGGGTTTACAGAAACATAAAGCGTACATATAGCTTTTACAGCAAATTACCTTTAGCCGCAACACTGAAACTTGCCCCACTGTAAGAACAGCTGATCCGATTGGAAAGTGTGTCAGATAAAAGTTCTCCGTTGGTTTTTTTGTTTGTGTGCGTAGGTGGAGGAGTGGCACCGTCACTGTTGTGACCACAAGCAGTTCATTCAACTTGCCCAAAACCCTTGCCCAACTAACGTTCAGTATTGGCACTGACTTACCCAAAAATCCCAAAACGAGTGCCAGCAGAAGCAGGGATTGCAGGCGCTTCTTATGCTTGTTCTCCATTTCCCAGCTCTTTGTTCGATTCTGTACTTATTTCGGGCAGAGTGAGCAGTGGTAAGTTAATTCATTGATAAGACTCTAGCTGAGCCGGCTGGCGACGAGATTCAAAGCGGAATGGAAACAGAACCGAGCTGAGCAGCGCGATTCTGACTCGTGGTGACTTCGAGCAGCTGAGAGTCGCTGAGCAGGGCTGTGGTGAGAATGAACGCCCGCGAGCTAGGGGGCGCCACTGTTACGGGGAACGCCGGCATGTAAAGTATGCGAACCTTTACAGCACTTTTATTAAATTATTATGTTCCACACTTCCAACAATATTTATACCATTTTCATGTGTTAAATTGGAAGTACCGTGATTTTTAAAATTTTATTCTACATTATTCCTTATAGCCAAAAAACCACGTCGATTCCAAGCCGTCTCTTCGGTGCCGTTCAAACCTGATTTAAATGCCTTTCAAAATTGTTTATTCCTTGCATTTCCTTTTGAACGCTCCTAATAATAACCAGCATTTTATTTGCTTTGAGTCCTTGGGGAACTTTGGGAATGCGGTTAGACGGAATGCTCCATTCAATCCTGGGATTGGGCGATACATAAAGATCCCATGCGATGAAGTGTTTTCCTTTGACCGGGGAAGAAGTTAGGAATATTATTAAATGTGCAAGTAAGCACCGACAACTTGAAGTTCGCGATCTGCTTGAAATAATAGTTTTTATTTATATGCCCACTTTCACCAGTGTATTTGTGACCTTTTTCATCCCAATAATTTATTTTCTAAGGATACGTTTTTTGGTTTTATGATTATAATGTAAGAAATATTTAATGTACATCTTATAAGTGGGGCATTTTCCCGCTTATCCAAAACTTAATACATATATTCCGCATTTTTAAATTACATTTTTGCCGGATCCGATTTACATTGTGCAAATAAAGTGGTCTGCGTCAATGCTGGAATAAATGTGTCCTTCGGAAATCATAAAGTCCAGAATGTTGCTGGAAAAGAAGGAACAAATGTTATAATTACTCAATAAAAACAACTACGAGCTGAAGGAACAACGCTCAAAAAGGGGGTCAGGTTCTGAAATAGTTAGCTTATCTGCTTACGTCAACTCAGAGTCGCTGATGTGGGAGAATTTGGCTTTCAGCTCCTTGCGGGAGATGCCCTCCTCGGAAACATTGCTCTTGATGGCCTGGAACACGGCCTGCTGCTTGGGCTCCAGTCCACTGACAATGGCCGAGCTCTGGGAGGCGGTGAAATCAGCTATGGGGCCTGAGCCGGAAGAAGCCCCTGCACCACCACCAGCTCCACCCTTGCTCTGGTAGTCCTCGGCCCTGTAGCGGGCATTGAGTGCTTCCAGCAGGTGGGTGCACACCTCGTTGGGATCGAGAACAGGCAGCAGCTTGAAGATCATCAGGGTCTTAGAGCCGCCTTGCGATCTGGTGGTGCCGTAGACCTTCACGTAGTTGTTGACCATGACTTCGGGTGCCTTCAGAGCGTCGCCCTCTTCCAGCCAGTAGTGCGCATCGATTCTGCCGCTATGATCCTCCAGCGTGTAGGTGATCTTGGTCGAGGAAGTCTCGATGTTCCGCACTATGGCCACAACACAGGCCATCGCGTACTGCATGCCGAACAACTCGATGTTGCCCTCCGGGGCGTCCACGATCTGCTTCACCACCAGGGGCACTATTCCCTATTCGTAATCATACAGAAGCATGTTGTTTAAGTTGTGTAAGTTGCGCTTTCCACTTACTTCTCCCTTTTGATTGCTGGCGGCTCCAGCGGGCGCAGTTTGTGTGGCATTGAAATCTCCAACTAAAAAGGAGCTCTCGTCATTAGTTCCTTTACTTTCCCTGGGTACGAGCTCTACTTACATGAGTCATTCATTTTCTTGGCTAATAGTGCCTAATACTTTAGATAACTTTACAATTTACAGGCCGCTGGTAAACAATAAAACGCGCGAACTTAGTGCTGATAGTGTGGCCGTAGGTCGAACCTGAAGGAATACCATCTAATGCGTATGTAGGAAAAACAAAAGTACCGTTTAAATTCCAGCGAATCCCCTCAAAATGTTTAATTTTAATTTATAACTAAAGTTCTGAAAGAAAATACTCTTTATTCAGTTGAGTTACTACAAATCTACAAGCTTTTTGATTTCAATGGAATCCCTCTAGCTGCAAATACTTTGTGGACTTACAGCACTTTTTATCTAATTTATTTTGAAAGCACAACAATTTTCTGCCTTTGAAATGCTCTTTTCTCCATCGATCTTCCTTATTTTTTTTTGAATTTAAACATGGGCTGAAGGACAAATGTCCTTGTTTAAGCATTCCCCACAATTTGGCTTCACCGGGGTGCAAATGGTTTGTCCGAATCCCACGAATAAGTGATTCACCTCTGACCAGAGACTAAATGGCAGCCACTTCTCCAACGCCACGCGGGTTTGCTCCGGTTCCTTAGTGGGCTTCGGCACCCAGCCCAGCCGGTTGCAGAGGCGGTGGACATGGACATCCACTCCGATTCCGGTGATCTTATTCCAGGCCACTGCCATGCATATATGAGCCATCTTGGGGCCAACTCCTGGAAGAGCTATAAGGTCCTTGACATTGTCTGGAATGTCCGAATCGTACTTGTCTATCAGTATCTCCACGGTTTGCTTCAGGTATTTGGCCTTGTTCTGGAGAGGATTGAGAGTAAGAGCGATTGATTTATTGCAAGACAAGTTTCTCAAACCTTGTAGAAGGATACCGGATGCAATAAGTTCTCGAGTTCTGTCACTGGCATTTCCTTAACTTGCAGTGGAGTTGGACTTCGGTCTTTAAGGCGATTCATGGCTTCGTAAGTAGTTTGGTCCTTAGTTTGACTGGAAAGCATCAATGCAACTAGGTTTTGGAAGCGCTGTGTCTGTAAGGAAGTTGTTCATTTTATGTGTATTTCTTTCCGCTTTTGGAAATACCTTCGAATCTGCTTTCAAATCGGCGCATCGATGGCATCCCATGGTGTCCACTGGAGCACTTCTGGAGCTTCTCATAACCCGAATGTTTTCTAAGTGGCCAAGCCACAAAGGATGTGGTGCTTGCACCTCAGAATAGGAATGTGCGTCCTCTTTAGTTTCCTCCGTATTCTTCTCCTGCTTTATTTGGGCATCCACTTCCAGTTTTATCTTATCCGCTACCACTGGAGAGTCCACAACATCAGGAAACACTTTGCACTTAACTATAGTAGCCGATCCCATTTGAACCCTGGTTGCCATTTGATCAGCCTTTCTATTCTTTTTGGGCGCAACCCGAGCTGGAGATAAGGGTTCCATTTTCAGGGACGTTTTCTTCAGGGATTCCCCATTTAAGAGGCGCTGCTTGCGGGTTTGGACGGGGGAGAAGTACTTTGAGGTAACTGATCCTGCTGCGCCCGAAGATAAACAAACTAGATCCTCGATATCCTGGAAGGTTAGAAACTGCGTGTGGAGTTTTGCTATTATGGTTTTTCATGTTTTTCCGCCTACCCTCACGTTATCTGCACGATTTTGACGCATTATCATTTCCGTGGGCTTTATAAGATCTCCCCGTTTTGCCAATTTGTTGACCAACGTTAGTTTCTTTACATTTTTTGCCATACTTAATACAATTTGTGCGTTTCTGTTTCGATGTTTGATTACATTTCGAACCTATCGATTATGCTGTTGAAACGGCCACACTTACCAAATAAGAAGGCGGCTGCATTTGAAATTTTCAAATATTCACCGCATACAATAAATGAAGTTATTCCAAACCTGTTTTTTTAATTTAAGTATAGGATAGGTATTAGGTGTTACAATAAAACAGCTGAAACAGTAGTAGTAAATGTGATCTTTAAAGGAAAAATAAAAATATTTGAAAATTACTCATATTTGAATTTGATACTTTCTAAATACGATATGTTTTATTCAGATAGCAGTTTTCTTTCGTGGGCCTGCAAAGAATGCATTAGCATAACGTAAAATATTTTACTGTACACTGACCTGGTGGGCCATCTTCAGAAGGTGCTCGAAACTTGATCGACCCGTCTGGAACACCATCCCGTAAAAGACTTTGCTCGCCGATTGCGTCAGTAGTTCGAATGGAGACCCGAACTCCACCAGAGTGCCAGCGTCCAGAACCATAATCCTATCCGAGTCGATGACCGTGTTCAATCTATGGGCTATGGTCAGGACGGTGCAGTCCCTGAACTTCCTCCGAATGGTGGATTGAATGAGGGCGTCGGTTTGGGGATCTACATTGGCAGTAGCCTCGTCCATGACAAGGATGCGGTTCTCGCGGAGGATCGCCCTGGCCAAGCAGACCAATTGCCTCTGACCTACACTGTAGTTGGCTCCGCCTTCTGCAACCACACTTTCCAAGCCATTTGGCAGCTCGGATACCTCATCCTTGAGGTGAACCTGACGAAGAAAGAGTGTTCATTTATAATTATAGCTTTTGGACGTGGAGACTCTCACTTCTTCCAGGGCCTCCCACAATTTCTCATCAGCATACTGTTCAAAGGGATCCAAATTATAGCGCAAGGTGCCGGAAAAAAGCACAGGTTCCTGGGGAATTATGGAGATCTTGCTGCGCAGATCATGAAGCCCAATCCCGGCAATATCCGTGCTGTCTATCACCAGGGATCCATCGTTGTAGGACAACCTAAAGAGGGCATTTATAAGGGAGGACTTCCCGGCACCCGTTCTGCCCACAATGCCAATCTTTTCGCGTGGCTTGATAATGAAATCCAGGGACTTGAGGACTCTATCCGCCTTGGGATCGGGGCTGTATCTAAGACTTAGTTGTTCCGCACTAATCAGACCCTCTTGCGGCCAATTCTTGGGAGGTTTCTTGTCGTCTGCGGACTCAAATGCTCCTTCTGCTTCCAGGTTTCTGTATTCCAATACTCTTTCCACAGAAGTCATGGAGTTCTCCAGCTCAGCGGATTGCCTCATGCCCCACTGAACAGTTCCCGTCATGGACATAGCCTGGGTGATAACCAAACCGATTTGACCAGGATTATTCAGCGGGGGGTTAAAGTAGCCCATCAGGGTTACCGATATGACGTAGGCCACGCAAAACAGATCCAGATAGTAACCAAAGGCTCGGTTTGTGGACAGGAAAGTATAGTATCCGGAACTGTGGAGATCCTGGTAGTTATCGTACTCCTTAGTCAATAATTCCTGAGCTTCCATAGCTCTGATGGTGGGTAGGCCATTTAAAGTGGCACTAAAATGGGAGTACATTGGGGATCTGGCTACGGCTTCCAATCTCTTCACGTCCCTCGAAGTGCTCAAATAGAATGTCCGCAGAAAATGAAAAGCCAGGAACATCGTGATGGTATTAATCAAATACCAGGGATTGGTGATGCACAAAACCCCTATAATTCCACTGATTGTGAGAAATATCTGTATGCAATCGAGCATCACTGCGGGCAGGATTTCGTCCACTTGCCCCAAGTCCATGGCAAAGCGATTGAGGATTCGGCCCGAGGGATTCGCATGGAAGAAGTACAGGGCGGTGCGGGAGACTCCTTGGAACATGGTATTATGTAGCTGGGTGGATGAGTGCATTGCCATGCTGAAGAAGAGCAGGGTTCGCAGCAGGGCAAAGATCACTAGGGCTGCGTTGATTCCACTGAAGATGTAAATGTCCAAAGACGAAGAGGAGTCGTTGTTTTTAACCCTGTGAGCGAAGATTCTTAAGTTGTGAATAACTTGGTTCATTCCAGCATACTTACCAGTAGGAAAGGAAGTAGTCCCCGCCAGAAGCCAAAACTTGAGTGCCCAGGCAGAAGAAGGCCACCAGGACGACCATCAACCATCCAGAGCCGGCGGAAAAATATTTCCCATATATGCCCAATCCAATTTTCCCTTGGGATCGTGCTTCCTGCGCAGGTTGTCTTTCAGTGTCCAGTATAGAATCCGTAGCGGAATCCACGGAGGTTACACTGACTCTGCTAACCCGGCTACTCTGCCGGGAGTAGCTCGACTTATCATTTTTGGCGTCGCCTTCTGCATGGCCGTGTTCCTGATCCGACTCCTCCCTTTCCTGGGCCTCCTTGGCCAAGAGTTTGGCGAAGTCCTGGCCACTTTTGAGCATCTCCTCGTAGGTGCCAATAGCTGATATTTTTCCCCTATCCATGATTACTATGAGATCGGCATGTTCCAGAAATTGCAGTTGATGGGTCACCAGAATCACCAGCTTATCCCTGAGAAAGCCACGCATGCACTCCTCAAATAAATGGCGCCCTACATGGGTGTCCACCGCACTCAAAGGATCGTCGAGGAGGTACGTATCCGCTTGGCGATAAACTGCTCTGGCCAAGCTGATCCTCGCCCTTTGACCTCCGGATAGGGAAGCTCCCCTTTCCCCCACATAAGTGCGATCGCCGTGGAGCAGTTCGAAATCTCTCTCCAAAGCACATTTCCTCACAACATTTCGATATCGGTGCTTATCCATGGGTAGGCCGAATAGGATGTTGTCTCTGACGGAGGCATTGAAGAGCCAGGGTTCCTGAGAGGCGTACGAGATCTTTCCCTGCACTTTCATACTGCCCGACTCACCAGGAAGTTCTCCCAAAATAGCTTGTATTAGGCTGGATTTTCCAGCACCAACAGGTCCGATCACAGCTACCAGTTGAGGTGGACTTAAACTGATGCTTATGTTTTCCAGAACGGGTTCCACGTGATCATGGTTCCAACGTGCTTGAAAGGATTGCAATTCCACCAGGGGCTTCCCTTCGAAAAGCCCATTTGCTTGCCCACCTTTAAGGCACAAAACTGCAGTTTCACTTCTCATCATAAATGCTCTGATTCTCTGCAGAGTCACCATCATCTCCGCAAACTGGGACATGCCGCTCGGGAAGAATTTGCACACCGTGCGTCGCAGGATATTGTAGAAAGCGGTCACTGCGAAAGCCCGCTCCGCCGTCAATTCTCCGCCCATCAGCACGAATCCCAGAAGGCTTACGAATATGGCGATTCTACTCAGGGTAATCTCGAAGGACAGCAGAGTGCCCCGGATGTAGTTCACCTTTCGAATGGAGCTCATTTCACTGTGCCGAAGTCTCTCGATCAGACTCCCAAACGGCTTCTCCCAGGTGTACATCTTGATCACTTGCATGCCTGATATGATCTCGTTCATCATCCTAACCCGCTGATCAGTTCTCAGGGCTGTTTGGAGTCTGAGTCTCGACGTCAGTCGACTGAGCAAAGTTTGGACCGGCAGGTATAGGAGCAGTATCCCGATTCCGTACAGGGCAGCTACTCCGATCTGCTGGTACAGGAAGTACGAGGCTATGAGCAACTCCAGCGGTCCCAGCCAGAGAAAGTGAAAGTGTATCAGCGCGCGATCGAAACGCCCCAGGTCATTGGATATGAGATTGACGACCTGGCCAGTGGTGGTATCTCCCAGGGCAGTGCGACTCAGTCGGAGCGCCTTTCGATAGATAGCCGTGCTCACTGCCACTCTCATTTTCATGGCCAGGTGCTAGGGGAAGAAAGTCCTTGTGATACAGTTCACAACAATATATTATTCTCTAAATCCTCACCATTAGGCCCATCATAAGCGGGTGGAACATCAGCACTGAAAACAGTATGCTTAAGACCAGAGTTAGTCCATAAATTTGCGCCCACAGCCCAGCTCCATTTCCATTTGCTGTGAACTCCGCTATTAGAGCTCCCAGGATAAGTGGTAAGGTCGCTCTGTCAGGAAGAACTTGGAAAATATATTGATTGTATCACCAAATGGCACCGTGCGCACCTTGTTCCTAGCTCGAGAAATCCAACAACTATGCCAGACAGGAGAAGTTGCCATCCGAATACCTTCAATATAACCCTAATGATGCTGGGCTCTTGTTTTGCCCTATCCCCACAGGATCTGACTTCTGACTGCCAAGTCTCAAAGAATTTGTCGCCCAGAGTCTCTGCTTTGTGTCCTTTTAGAGCCTTATATAGATCGGCAGGCTCAAGTGTTTTCTTCCTGCCCTTGAAAAGTATCGGCAACGCGAAGCTGGAAGATACGTGTGCTATCATAGATCTGAGTTATCAAAGCCTTCAAAGTTCATGCAAACGTGGTAATCTGAGGTGATAGACGTGATCTTACGCCTGCTGATATCTACTGATAGCAGACCGTTTTCAGCACGACTTTCCGTGATGAAATTGCCATTATAGTTTTAAAGTAGCTTCTAATAAATCGTACCAAAACATTAAAGCAGAGAAAATCCCCGCCGACTCGCGTGGATTTGTTTTCAATTTTTTGGCCTGCATGTTGTGTAGTTAATCAAAAGCCTCATCAAAGTAGAGTGCACTATTAAATAGTTTGTTGGATTAGCTACTTTTCACTTCAGTTAACACTAAAACTTTCCGTTCAGCGGGAACACAAATTTCAGATAAAAGCGTCCGTGGGGTTTCGCATTTTAACTTAATCTGGTTCGTTTTTAGGTGCCATCCCACGAGTGATACAATTCACGGAGGTTTTCTCACCTGGGTGACGTAGTTTATCTCAGAGATAATCTCGGTTGTTAGGCCTTCAGTAAGGAAACCCTCTATTTTCAGCATTGTTTTCTCCCATTTTGCTGTTAAATTACTTAAGTAATGCTAAATTATTCGAATTTACTGTCTTAGTAAGCTTTAGAAGACAAATTGGAAATCTGTGACCATTTTTGGATTTGATGTTCGGATAGGTACCTCTCA